TTTGTGTGTGTATATTCTTGTAGTGGGGTGTCACGTGGATCACTGTGTGAACGACTCATGCATACTTCAAAATAGTATTGGCATCTTATCGCAAAGTCTATGTGGCTTGCACAATCAACCACAACAACAACAATTTCCAATGATTTACTATATGATTCTTCTCATCACTGAGTTCTAAGAAAATATCTATGGTTATAATTAAATCATCCTGTATTTTCATGGCATCACTTATACCTTAATGTTGGATAGCCACAGTATTTACAGATCTACCAAGAATATAGTTGTTGGTGTAAACAACTTTAAGTCGTGGCCTCGGGGTCGACACGATTTGGTTCGGGTCCGGATGAGGGGGGATCTTCCTGGGACGACCCTTGAGACTGCTGAGGCGACCGACAGCGGTGGTCCGATCGGAACGAGGTCGTCGTTTTCCTCCTGGAGGGGGCTCCTCGCTTAGGCGTTTAGCGTAAGGCCTCCGTCTTCGCACCTGCACACAAGTCGGGTCGGGAGAGCTCGACCCGACTCCTCCGACGATTAAATTAGTGAATAGTCGCAAGGGGTTTTTGTGTTGTCTTCTCGTATCCTCCTTTCTCTCGGAGCACGAGGGTTTTTACAATGAGGATTACCATTGTTTGATGTGCCTGCCCGTAGGGAGCAGGATCATACTTCTGGTAGCGTCTGACATCGACGTTGGCGTGGCGTAAGGGATCGAGCTTGAGCAAAATGTTAATGTGCCTCGGTCGACGTTTTTGGTCCGTGTTGACCGGGCGTTGTCAGGTCAACAAAGACGTGAGGCGTCATCTGGGGCAACTTACGTCACCCGAATCTTATCGCCATTATTACCCTCATCAATAGTCATGATTATTTTTATTTTGTCCTATAGTGGATTTTGTTCATCAATGAGAATATATTTTTCCTAATAAGTCACCACTAATTATTGGGTATACAGAATGTATTGGACTAAAGATATCTTAGGATAAAATTAATTATTTTTTAATTCTGAAAAACAATTTCACACACCCCAATAGTCAATGTAAGTAAATTGATTTAGAATTTCTATAAATAATTTTAGATTATTATAAACTTACATATAAATTTGGGCATCTGGTTGATGTGTGATACATCATTTGTAGCTCATTGGTTACAGCATTCCAAGGAGATCCATGCCAGAATCGGAGGTAGCTGGTCAATCTTGTGCTTTAAGAATTCTAAGAGAAAATAAAAGAATTGTATAAATATGTTATATATATATATATAATATTCAAATTATTGTAAGTACAAGTAACTTATATGGGTAGATATAAAAATCATTGATTCGGTAGGAATTAATATTCAATTATGTCAATTATTTAACCCGCTGACCAAGTCAACGTTGTCAACCTGGAAATGTAGACCTAATGAAGCCCACCTCTCTTCCTATTCTTAGTCCATCTTCGCTTTCCACCATCTCTTCCCCTCCGTTCTCTCTCTCTCTCTCTCTTACCCGATCCCCCATGACCAAGGAAGAGAAAAAGAAGGAAAACCAAAAGAAGGGCACAGCGGCCTCCATCCCCGCTCAGCTATGGCCGCTGCCCTCCTCCTCCTCCTCCTCCATCACCATTGCCACCACCACCTCCTCCTCCTCCTCCTCCTCCTACTGCTACCCGTATATTCTGGTTCACAACCGGCCCCCATGTCCGACGTCGACGCACTCCTCCTCCTCAAGGGCTCATTCACAAACTCCGCCAGGCTGTCTTCATGGACTCAGGGCAGCTCCTCCGGCCCATGCGATCCCAAGGCTCCCTGGGATGGTGTCGTCTGCCTCCACGGCGTCATCAATGGCTTGCACCTCGCAGATATGGGCCTCTCGGGAAGCATCAACGTCGATGCGCTGTCACATTTCACGGGCCTTCGGTCGGTGAGCTTCATCGACAACAACTTCTCGGGTCCCGTTCCCGCACTCGGCCGCCTCCATGCGCTCAAGGCCATCTACCTCTCACGCAACCAGTTCTCGGGGCCCATCCCCGGCGACTTCTTCGACAGCATGACTCGCCTCAAGAAACTGTGGCTCAACGGCAACGCCTTCACCGGCCCCATCCCCGCCTCCTTAGCCAAAGCCACTGCCCTGTTAGAGCTGCACCTGGAGGACAACGACTTTACCGGGTCGATACCGGCTCTCGATCTGCCATCCCTCACCTCCTTCAACGTGTCGAATAACAAGCTCGAAGGGCCGATCCCCGACATATTCACCAAGTTCAATGCGAGCTCGTTCCTGGTAAACAAAGATTTGTGCGGAGAGCAGCTGGGCGGGAGTCCATGCAGGAAGGTGGCCCATAATGGAAGCGGAAGGGTGGCCGCAATGTGCGTCATGGCCGTCCTCCTCGTGTGTTTGGCTATGTATACAATCAAAACCCGGGATAAAAGCGGAGAAAGAGAGATTGTTACGCTGGGAAAGGCTCGCAAAGAGGTGGAGAAGGGAGAGGCCTCGCCCGAGACAGGTCAGAGCAGCAGGAAAGGGGAGTCGACCCACAGGCACAGGAGAACAGGGTCGTCGATGAAACCGGGCGGGACCGGTGGGAAGACGGGCGGATCGGGGGACGACAGCGGCGGAGGAGGAGGCGGAGGAGGGGCGGGGGATCTGGTGATGGTGAACGAGGGGAAGGGCGTGTTCGGGTTGTCGGACCTGATGAAGGCGGAGGCGGAGGTGATGGGGAGCGGCGGGCTTGGCTCCGCGTACAAGGCCGTGATGGCAAACGGGATGGCGCTGGTGGTGAAGCGGGTGCGCGACATGACCCGGGTCGGCAAGGAGTCGTTCGACGCCGAGATGGCGCGGCTGGGGCGGCTCACCCACCCCAACGTGCTTCCTCCGCTGGCCTACCATTACAGGAAGGACGAGAAGCTGCTGGTGTACGAGCACATTCCCAAAGGCAGCTTGTTATACGTTCTTCATGGCGATCGCGGCCTCGACCATGCGTCCTTGGACTGGCCGACGCGGCTAAAGATCGTGCGGGGGATCGCGCAAGGCCTCGCCCACATCCACGCAGTGCTCCCCTTCATCGAGGCGCCTCACGGCAACCTCAAGTCCGCCAACGTGCTCCTCTCCCTCAACTTCGAGCCGCTTCTCGTCGACTATGGCTTCCTCCCCTTGGTCAACCCCGCGCAGGCCGCCACCGTCATGCAAGCCCTCCGGTCCCCCGAGGTCCTCGCCGGCCGTCCCATCTCCCCCCGGTGCGACGTCTACTGCCTCGGCGTCCTCATCCTCGAGCTCCTCACCGGCAAGTTCCCCTCGCAGTACCTCACCAACGTCAAGGGCGGCACCGACGTGGTCAACTGGGCGACGACCGCGATCGGCGAGGGGCGGGAGGCCGAGGTCCTGGACCCCGCCATCATGTCCGGCGGGAAGTCGTCGGTTCCGGAAATGAAGCGGCTGGTCCACGTCGGTGTGGAGTGCACCGAGGCTGACCCCGACCGACGGCTCGTGCTGAAGGACGCCGTCGACCGGATCGAGGAGGTGGTCGCCGCCGAGGCGCAGAGAGCGACCGCGGCGCGGAGCCACGCGGCGTACGTGAGGGACGGGGCCGGGGAGCGGTCGGTGCGCCGAGTGGGGAGCATCGGCGAAAGGTCCGCGCGGCGGAGCGACGACAGCTGCTCCTTCGCCATCTCGTGACCGTGGGATGCCGATCGAACGGCCGCGGTAGCCTTTGCACGGTTAGTTCGCGTCGTTGTTCTAATTAAAAGCTCTTGTATCGCTGTATAATTTATGATGAAAGCTATTAACAAAAGATTAGGTTCTTTTTTCTCGCTCTCTCTATCAATCTTCTTCTTGTTCTTCGATGAAGGTTTCAAAGAAAGGTTTTTCTAGTCATTTTAATCTTAAAGTCATTGGAATATGATCATATATCCGATAGGAATATATCAACCAACCAGTAATTAGGCAGCATATGAGCTCACCATCGTAACATTGTGAAGGAGTAATGTCAAGGAAACTTACCATATGGATGGGACAGTCTCTTATCTACCGATGCATGGAACCTTCATTTGTCCGTCCTCGTTTGGCTTCTCGTCCTTCCCAACCTGCAGTGAATGAAATGGCAGTACAAATCGTACTGTACTGAACCCACAGCCCTCAAGCTCTGTACTCTGTTTGAAGTTACCAATTTGTCCTCAACATCGAGCTACTAATAATAACTCGCATTATTTGGTGTATTTATTATTGACCGATCCAGCAAGTTTTAAGTGTAATTAACAACGACGTCGAACCGACGCATATCCGTGTGCTAGTTTTACCCACTCGACCCTTTCGTACCTGTTGTGCTACCGGCCCTGCTAGTGGTTGTTCCATCGCAGCCTGCAGCCACAAGGCAGGTAGCTGAGTCGGTAAACCGGAAACGGGATGGAAAACTGTTTTGCTTTCTTAGATGCTATTGAAATGAGACGCAAGCAATATAGGGACTCTTTTTGCCGGTTTAGTCTGGTGCCTACGTGTGGGTCCCAAGTGACCCCACGTCCTTTAGACCATTCACAAGTCACGTAAGTGACAGGGTAATCTGCTCTTGGTCGGAAAAGTGCTTTTTCCTTGAGGTAGACGATTAATGACACCACGGACTTGATTGCTATTTGGCTACAAATCTGAGGGTAAAACGGCCCCAAGAAATGGAGGGTGGAGTATCGTATAATGTTACGCCTCTCCCTCTTTCTCTCTCCTCTCCGCTTCTCTTCCGCTGCAAGCCGCGTAGCTTTGCCCAATTCGTCTTCCACCTCCGCCTCCTCTTCCTCCAATTTCACCGCCAACTCACAAGATGATGCACATGACCTTCTACTGGGGCAAGAAGGTGACGATCCTGTTCGACTCGTGGCGGACAGATTCTTGGGCGGGTTACCTTCTCAGCCTCATCGCTCTCTTCGCCGTCGCCGCCTTCTACCAGTACATGGAGGACCGCCGCGTCCGCTTCAAGATTATCGCCAGATCCAAGCCCTCCTCGACACCGGGGATCGGGGCCCCCTTCCTCCTGCCCGTCGCTGCCTCCCGCCTCGGCCCCCCCGCCAGGTTCGCCTCCGCCATCCTCTTCGGCGTCAACTCCGCGATCGGATACCTCCTCATGCTCGCCATCATGTCCTTCAACGCCGGCGTCTTCATCGCCGTAGTTGTCGGCTTGGCTGTGGGGTACCTCTTCTTCAGGAGCGGCGGGGAGGAGGACTTGGTTGTGTTGGAGAACCCCTGCGCCTGCGCTTGATTGGGCCCTCCTCCTTCGGTACCCGCCTCAAATTTATGCTTCCTTTGTGTGTTCTGTTGCTTGTACTCTTCTGGCATGTGTGTGCTTGAATAATTCTATGTTAATTATGGTCATTCCAACCCTAATCTCATGTATGATGTGAAAAAGATGACATTTTTATGGGCTCTGTTATGTGCAAGATTATAGTATGGTGACTGTGGATCTGTGAAAACATTAAGGAAAGAAAGGAAAACAAATAGTATCACTGTTTCTTGTACGTATCCAGTTTTATTCAGTATATGTTTGGTGTTTAAGAGTATTAAGATGTTAAGAATTCTGAAGGCTTTTGCTTTGTTCTGTTTATGACAATATAGACCGAATTTTTCTATTTGGTTTTGTTTCAGCTATGAAGATCATGGCTATGTTCATGGTGTATAGTAGTGGTTGTAGTTAAGAATTGTGTAGTTAATGTTTGAAAGCAAAATTAGGAAAATAGAAAGGGCAGTTTGCATCATGTTATGGCATTTATATATACCTAGAGAGAAGTATATTTTTTATTCTTGTGTTGTGTTCTTATATTTCTGAAATAAAGGATTTCTAGAAGTCTTAACCTATGACTGTTAGAGTTTTTATGGAGATGGAGCAGAGTACATCTTCTGTGACACATTATCTTGCTATGTTCCACTTACTGAATGGATCCACCACACTAAGTGGAATGTGGTGTTTCTGGGTCAATTAATTTAGGCTTGAAAGGTGAAAGATTGGAATGAGTCCCAATTCAGGCCACATCCTCTTTCTCTAAAGAGTGAAGGATTCTTGAAAATCTTATATGGTGTCTTGTTGTATTCTGGATTAATCTCATGTGTTGGATGTTACACTGCATATAGTTACAAGATTTACACTGCATATGGTTTAAAGATGCCATTTTGAGGATTCAGGATAGGTGGAAAACATGATGTAGCCTTGTTCTAATACCTTGTGTGGGAAGGAGAATGTTCTTATAGGACCTCCCAGCTTGCCTAAATGATTTCAGCACTTGACCAAACCTTTCTGGTATCAAGAAGGACTTCTGATAGTTTTCTCTTGTGGGGAATAAAGGAGAGGCCTTGGTCTAGTGGTGGCTTCCCCTGCTCATCTTGAAGAAGTTCTATCTGTTTGAAAATTTCCTTTATTTATCGACAAGCAACAGATTACAGGCAAAAAAATTTACAAGAATCTGTTGCATGTATAATCATTTAGACATCTGTGTGTTAATTTACTTACAGTTGCAATTAAGATGGAGAAGATGATGATTGAGGAAGGAGACAATTAGAACTGTACAAACTTAGGAAGATGAGACTTGAGAGAGGGACAATATTTGAGGAAAAAGGTGATAGGGAGTGTCCAAGTTCAATTTTGGCGTGCAATCTAACCTTTAAACAATTGATTACATGAATACATAGAGCAAGTAATTTACTTGCAGTCGTTCAAACGCTTTGATTTGATCTACATGTAGTCAATCGAATGCTTGCAAGTATGCTATTTGCTGTAAAAGGAGTTGTAGTCAGTAAAGAAAGAAAAATTGAAATGCACATTCCAGAGTTGGAAGGTGGCTATGATACACAATACATTCTAATAGACATACGCACACATAAAAAACTGTGCCATCCTGGACTCGAAAAGAACCCTAAAATATCTCAGTTCGAGGCCCATGTTTTTGAAGGACTTGTCTGCTTCTTATTTCCCTTGTAATATTGGATTCTGAAGCTTGCTGGTGATGGAAGAGAACATAGAATTATTCTTGCCTTCTTTTTTGGTCAATCTGTCCTCGAACCAAGTTCTTACCAGGCAGGAGTCATCCTGGTTTCTTCTTCTTTCAAGTTACATGTTCTCTGCAGTGGAAATTGCCAATATGTTTTTCTTGGACAACCTTTCTCATTCGAATCTTTGGTATCATCTTTTGAGTATAATGATGTTATGAAATGGAAAAGCTTGTACATGACGTGGGAGCTCACCATGGTGCAGTTGCCACTGTGTATTATGTGCTATTCCTCCACTGATCCCAATTGATCGAAGAATATTACATCATGAAAGAATGAAGGCAATATGGCAAAAAATCATCACTTTATGCAGACAAATATGCATGCATCTCTCTGTTTGTAGTCATTCTCTAATATGTCTCTTTGCTTGCACTGACCTTAAAAGGCTAGCTTGCAGATATTATTCAAAGAAATTATTTCACTTGGTAGGAAAACCATAGATAATACGATGCTTGAATTATCAATGTACACAGATCGATATCCCTTGTAGTAGCTTCTACATATCGGTGAGCTGATACCTCGTCCCTTATAAGTAGCAGCTTCTACTTAGTTGTGTTTCCGAAAACAAGGTTACCGGCCGGAGGTGTTGCAGAGGTTGGGCTTCATAGCTAGCCCCAGCTGTAGATCTGAATCCTGGTAATTCTGCTTTGCCATCAACGATGATGAAGATTTCACAACGGCGACAGGCCGGTCTTCCTGGTGCATTATTCCGAGCGTGCTTATACTATGGTCCATAGCTATACAAGGCACAAGAGGCGGTGGTCTGGCAGTGAAACGCCCACCTGCAAATAAACTCTGATCCAAGGTCTTGAAGCTCCCATTGTGCTCTTCAAAGGGCTTGCCGCGAGGATCGTGAAACCACGACATGGAGAAGTCGAACTCCGAGCCATGGCTTTTGATGAGGGGTTGAAGGTAGAAGCTGATGCCTGCTCTCCTGGCATGGAGCTCCAGCCTCTTCCTCTTCATCCGCTCCTTCTTGTGGGCATTCTGATGGCCACCGAGCGCCTGCGAGTTGGGGAATTCCTTGCAGCAGAACTGGCACCTGTACTTCTTGTCCTCAACGCCCCTTGTTTCGATCTCTTCTTCCTCATTTCTGCTCCCACAGCTGTGTTTTCGGGGATTGAACTCGACACCAAACAAGCGGATCTTCTTTTCTTCCCCCTTGCCTGCAACATGGTGGTGGTCAGCTTTCAGCTCCCTCGAAGCAGAACTATGAGATGAAACACAACCCTGTTCTGCTGCATCACTTTCCATTCCTTCACGGTAAGGAGAAGATTGTAGTTTCTACTCCGATGAAGTGATGAGTCAAGGGCGGATCCAACCCACACTTATACTGTGAGCTGACACCAAGTTCTCATCATTAAATTAATGGGTCTCAACAGTCAATGGAAAGAAAAAGAATGTCAGATATAAAGAGCATTCGCAAGTGGGCCCATGCACATATTTCTATCTGATGTTTCAATAAACAAAGCAAACTGTGGTCACTTCAGATAACTATCAACAACACAAGATTAATACCACTTGACAATGAATGCAATTTTTTGCATCTAAAGCTAGCATAAGAGCAGATCACTGAAATCTCTAAAGGGTGAAAAGTAGAGATGCATTTGAGTGGCTCCACGACTGTCTCCTAATTGCATATATAACTAAACTACAGGTGGGCAATTTGTCAATGCTTGCTATAGCCAATATCTTGAAGCATTTGTCCAGTCTTGCCACCTTTATAGTTAAACACATACCTTGGCATTTAAGCTGCTTAACCACATAAAACCACAAAGTCAACTATTTACTTGTCCGATCTAGGACCGGCACCAGATCATACAGCTTGGATTTAGTTGGTATTATTTTATTTATTTATTTATAATTATTTATACAAAAATCAAGGAGGACCCTATGAGTCGGTGCATCGTCTGTCTGACATACCAATTTAACAAGGTGATTAAACTGACATTGAAGTGAGATCTCAAATCTTGATTGCTACTTTAATAGGAGAGTATTTTAAGATAAACAACCTGATTTAACCAAGAAAAGGAACAAAAGAGAATGCTATCAGTGGGCAGTGATATCAGCAAGTATATAATAACCTTAATAATATCAGAGCATATCTTCTCAAGTTCCAAAAGCAAACAGTGAAATATAGGTTTAATTGCCAGCCTCTATTGTGGACATAAACAAGCAGATCAACTAGAGCTGATAGCTGTTTTCGAGACTCCGATTTCAGCTCGAACAGAAACTTTTTACGAACATTATCATTTTTTTTTCCTTCTCGAATCACTTTCTTTGTGACAAATCCTGTACCAGTATATTTGTTTGGAAGCTAACAGTTGATCCAACCAACCAAGAGACCCTGGCGTGGTAGACTCTCATACATAGACTAAACTTGCTTTAACCTACTGCTTTCTTGCAAGGCTCCCACTCAATTTTTCCTCTAACAGGATTCCCTATTGGACTAGCAAGTCATCAGCCATTTGCAAATTTCAACTTATAGAACTAGTGGACAAGTAAAGCAGAAAAGAATCAGTGCATCAGTGGATGATCTCTGGTGTTGATCAAGTAAGAAAGGTTGCTTTTTAGTAATTGGTTATAAGGAACTATTTTCTAGAAAATCACTTTGCTTTGGACAAAGGCAAGCAAGTTCTGGGGTCATTTCAATGAAAAGAGAACCATCTAATTTCTCCATTACTCTACAATGAAGGAACAGAATTAAGTCTCTTTGGATGGTTTTCTGGGAGAAGAAATTGGCCAAGGGCCGATCTGATTTACTTTGGCTTCCAACAAACCAAAAACTATCATCTCCATAAGTAATTTTATGTGAGGCTTAATGATCACAATATATAAAGTGGGAGTCCAAGATCTTGCGAGAGGAAAGAATTTCCTGAATATTTTTAAAGAAAAATTTCCAGGCACTGCAGATTCATAAAGAAGATACAAGCTGAACATGATTAGCTTGCTTTCTTCTTGCAGTCAGTGAGAGGGCAAGAAGTGCAAGAACCAGTAATCTTCTGGTTGCCTCTACTAATAGCACATTTGTGCAATTTTTTCCTTATGTTTCATGGTAATCATTTAGGTCAAACTTCAGGTCAGTAAGGATTCTACTGTTGAGGTGGATATATGCCATGGTAATCTAGAAGGCTGCAAACCCCTACACTTCTTCATGGGGAGATATAAACCTTCTATATCTGCTAAATGAAGCTAGGATCACTAGAGCAGGGTTGAAATCAAATCATTCCCTTCCCAGTCCTCAGACACTGTAATCCAATAAGGAAAAGAAGAATGACCAAGGTCGATACCTTTTCCAGTCCTATTTTCTCAGTCTTGAACCAGTCTCCCCATCTCTTCTCCTTCAATGCCCTCGGAATCCTCTTAAACATCTCCGACCTGGTCGCAGCAAATGACATCCGCTACTAGCTTTTATTCCAAGGGAAGAACCTTTCCATCATGAATACGAAACAATGTCGAAGGATTAGCCAACTCCGAACGAATGAAATTACTAAAAAGTCTAACCTTTGATGCAGGGAAATAGCTTACTGGAACTCAAGTTTGGATGGCGGATCTGAGGGACTCAAAGGCCCTTCTCGAGTTCTATTCGGTAGTGTTCTGCGACAACAAAGTGAACACGAGTCCATCAATGACCGTCTCCCCGGGGCGGCTTCACCAGCGACCGCCTCCGCCACAGATAGAACCGATGGTTGACTTCCGGTACTTGAAGAACTCCTCCGGAAAGCCGTGCTGGGCGGGAAGGGCGTTGCGGACGGCCCGGTGTTGCTCCGGGGTAGAGATCGGAGGAGGGTTTCAGGGGTTTGCTAGGATCGGACCGGCGAGGTATTTTTGCCTCAGAAGGAATTGAGTGGTTCCAGACACTATTGGAACATCTTGAACTTAGTCTGATCAGATTTTGATTGAGATGCAATATATCAATCAATATCTTGAAACTTTTAATTTATACAATCATATTTTATTTAGGTATTTTGGATTATTAACATCCAAATAGATTATATATTTCTTCTTTTTATTTATCGATGACAAAGGGGGAGAAGCAGCAACTGACTATGTTTTTTTTGTTTTTTATCATGATATCTTTTAAGCTATAATGTTTTTCACTTATGCCTTATGACGTTTTTATAATTATCTTTAATTGATGTTATGCGTTGATAATAATATGATTTTTGTAATGAAAACTATTAAAAATCACTAGAATTTATGATCAAATTATTTTAATTTGAATACAAGACTAGCATTGAAAGTACATTATTTTGAATTCAAATTCATCATATTTTTAAGATAATATATAGATAAGAGAAATCTTGTTAAGAACCTATTATTAATTGATTATCATTATAAAATAAAAGAGAGATTGTTGAATCTCATATTTTGATGATAATATCAATTGATGAGTTTATTAAATTAATATATTTTTGAGATAAGCGACATAGATAATACATCGATCATGCACTATTGACTCGTTAAACGTGAAGCCAAACTATCGATCGATGCGCTAAAGAATGAACTTCGTACTAAAGATTCAAACATCGTGTCAAAAGAAATATATAATGTATTGAAAAATTAAATATTGTAGCGAACACAATCACAAGAAGCAAATAATATGTGAAGAATAATACTATATATCAAAAGTTCATATTAAAGGGCCGTATGATCAAAGACATGCAAGTGTTGATGGTGTGATGAAAGAAGTTGTTGAGTTAGAAGTGTTTTATATCAATTTGAATCATTTTTGGGCTAATTTTGATCCTAAGCCTTCGGCCTTGAGTTTGGGTCGAAATTGGGCCCATTAGAGAATCGAAGAAGTGACTTATTCTAGGCCTAAGTAGTGGTACCATCACTTGAGTCAATCGATAATACAAAAAATGTTGTAGCAAAATCAATGGTAGTACCACTAGTTTAGTAATATCATTAAAGAGTAGTGCCGGTACCATCGGAGTTTGAATTTATGGCTCGTACCAAAAGTTATAATGGTAGTATTACATAATATTAGTGATAATATCGTTAATACCTCAAAATTTTTAGGATTTAAAATTTTTGCTCTATTTTTGATGCTTTTTAAAACTCATAAATATCCCACTTATAAAATGTTATAACCTCTTATTTTGAGTCTCCTTCTTCTCCTGAGTTATAGGATGTCAGAGATCTTTTATAAAAAGTAAATATAAAGATTATCTTCCAAGCCTACAAAAAAAATAAAAATACAGAAGGGATAGTTAATTTTTATTTATTGAAAAGAAGATTGATAGCGAAAATCGATAATCTCATTAGAAGAAGAATCGAGAGTAGACATAGGTTAGTAAGATAAAATTAGTTTGTCTCTTTTTATTTATCTTTTACTTTTGACTTAAAATTATTCTCTTTATATAACTTTTATTTGATCAATAGAGTTTTCAAAATATATTATTTTCTAGATATAATTTTAAAATCGATTAAAAACTTTATAGCATTAATTCATCTCAAAATTAACAATGATATGATGTCCATATTAATGAGATTACATTAGACCAAATTTAGCATCTGGTTTCAACAATCAAAATCATTTCCATCTACAATCATTGATACTGTAATCACCCTCAAAAGTTAGGAATCATTGACCAATAAAATAAGCCAGATATATGTGTAGTGCAAGTCCAAGTCGTGAGCCTACTTAGCTAGGCCATTGCGTGTGCGTTGTAGATTACGTGATATGATAGGAATCAATACATCCGACAAGTTATGCCCTACAAATGTCTTGCGATCAATGATGTGCAACAATGGTTGAAGAGTGCTCGAGACATATAAGCTAGTGGCTACCAACGCCTACAAGACAACAACTGTGCACCCATAAGTCCTATGTCGAATGCATCTAAGATGGTTCACCTACAATAGTAGTGCATCGATAACAAGCTACTAATCCGTATACAGGCAACGAACGAGCTCAGATGTGTATAGGTAATTGGATGCATGAGCTGAGCCGAGATGATCGCTTGTTCTCCCTTGATGAAAAGTGAGGGTGGCACCATACCATGCAAGTCGAGAAATATCACTTATGCACTCTCTCTTTGGGCTCAGTTACACGTACTTGTGCTTTGTGTTGGCTTGCATTTTGGCTCGACCTCGTGAATATAAGTTGGGGCTATGTGGGAACCAACTATGACTGTATGTGTGTGTGTGTGTGTCATTAATGTACATAGCAACTTATAGTGGTGTTGTGCTGTGAGGTGTGTGTGTGTGTTGGATCAATCTTAAACATGTTTCGTCATGCCATGCTCAGTATCAATCATCATCATAGTGCAGCACAAGAGAGAAGAAAACGATGCAAGGAAAGCGAGCATTGGTAGAAAGCTGAATGCTGCAAGGAAACAGTATCCAGATATTGCAAGGAATGTGGAGCTCACTTTCCCCCACTACAAAACATAACATGCATCTTTTTCATCTCAGTGGACAGCCTAATAATACTCAAAGATGAAAAGCTTCAAGCCTTCACACAACTTTTAGGACCAATTTCCACAAGTATCTAACAAAGTAACAGCTCAGATGTATGACAGTTTATATGTCAACACAGATGGAAGAGAAATCCAATGTTAATTCAGCATATAAAGGTTCATAAGTGAGGGAAAGGAATCCTTCATTTCCCATGTGAGACTAAATGCAGTGCATAAAGTTGCAAGGGAAGGGGGTGACAAATGTAGGAATGGCATCACCACTTTGTTGCATAAAAGTGGGAACAAACAACATCACATAAATAAAATACCTGTCTTGAGTTGCTCTCTCCTCACTAAGTCTATTGGCAAGTTGAAAGCCTATTTGGTAGAACATGTTCACACAAAACATATGCTGTGATATGTAAAAAGTGAGTATTTAGAATCCTTCAAATAAATTAGAAAGACTCTGTTGTCTACCAAAATTTGCATATGAGAGCAGTGAAGAATGGACAACATCATATGCCTCTCTCTCCATCAACTTTATTTGTTTGGTGATAAATAGACACCACAGCTGCATTGCCATGTAATCAAAGGAGTGGTTCAATCTACCATGAGCTCTCTCATGAAATGCCTCCCACTCATACCAATTTTTATAAGATGTTAAGAAGATTGCAGCTGTGAATCAGTAATTGGCACATAATAAAGGGGGTTAATTCAAGCTTGTGGCACATAGGCACACACAATGAATCAGTAATTCAAATGTGTCTTTGGGAGACTCAGTGGCCAAAAACAAAGTTTGACTAGTTCTAATTGGTTTTATCTAATAGCAGAGAGGCCAGCTTGCAGTTTTTGGTGCATCAATGCAGAATCATATGAATGAAGTCATGCAGAAAGGTAAACCTGCTGTCAGCAGTGATCCAAATGGCTTTCAGGAATTGGACAGTGTATATATTTAATCACACTGTTGAAAAAAGTCATGAATCATTGAAGGTTTGGTAAAGAGTTTTTTTTTAATTATCCACTCTTAGCAATAATTCCATCTTAAGTTTGCAACTTAATAAATGATATCAAGTATGTTATCTTAATAAATGAAATGTTTAGTGGCTACCCACTGTCTCCTACCAACCTTTTCCATCTAATATATTGGTCAAGCAACCACACAATACAGATTAACAAATGTTCACCTATTTGGTCATCTGAATGCATCTTATTAGACTCCAGCCATAACAATAGTAAGTAAAAATAATAATAATGAAACTTTTAACTTTTCCTGATGACCAAAAGAAATATTAAAAAACATACAAAAATGTAGTACAATCAGATATGAAAATAAATCCAGCCTCCAACATAAATATTAATTTAGTTGCTGTCATGGTATAACAACAGCGCGAAAATAATCAACAGGTAATGATTTAGGCTTCAAAGTTTGAAACAAAAAAAAAATCCATGTTACTTGGAACTGCATCAATCTCAATCTAGCAATTAGAAAGAAAATGACAGACTTGTGTCTAGTGATTGAAACAAGATACAATACAAAGCTCAGTAGATACCTGGTGGTGGTTGCCTTCCAGCAAAAGAGGGCACCAAGTTGCCAGAGATCATGCATTGAACACCTTTATCTGTCCATCACCATCAAACTCTGTTGTTTCATGTCCCAAAAAATGTCATCATGCAAGTGAAGACCAGATTCTGGTTCTGTTCCACTTTCCAATTGCAATCACAAAAAACATATATATTTGGCATAAGCCTAGTTCATTTAGTAACCCTTGTAATGGCTTCCCTCTTGTTTGCTTTATTGCCAACTGAGTCTTATGACAGCCCATTGTTCACACAAAAAAAGCTGTAATAGCACAGTAATAGATTAAAGACTTGTGAGGAAAAGCTGGCATTCGAAAGCTCAGGGATAAAGTGAAAGAACCCTTGATCATAGGCAAAAGACACAATACAAAAGTGATTATTCTACAAAATAATGTGGAGCTCACTTGCCATAAAACATGGTTTTCTTTTCCCAAGTTGCTGGCTGGCTTCCAAAGCATGCAGGGGATCAACTTTAGCCTTGGAGAACTAAATGAAGGACAGAGAGAAAGGAAAGCTAATCTGAGACCCCACAATGAGCACACAAAACTCTCCATGATTTTTTAGAATCACCCAACACAGCATTTCTCCCTTCTCTTCTAACTATATCTGAATTTATTGAAGAGTCAAACATAATGGGCTGAACTGCTGCAATGTGTTGTTGTTATTCTTATCTTTTGATGAATGAATAATTTTATCAACAATCACAAAGCATTTACATCCCTGGACATATAAAACTTTGAAAGATCCTCCAACTTCAGACCTGCCTTGGCTAGCTAGTGAGCTACCTAATTACAAGACAAGATATGGGAGACTATAAACCTATCAAAAACTATAATGATAATCCTGCCATCCCTACAGAGAAGAATTCCCTGGTTGCCAAAACTCTCAATAAAAGGTTCTTTAAGGTCTGCAGTGCTGAATAAAGCTTAGATCAAAAGGTAATCAGTCGAGTTGTCAGGACACAGTCCTCTGCAAAGCTGTAGCTTCTTAGCATCTTTTTATTTGCGGTAGAGACAGTCAAAAGAAATGATTACTTCCATGTTTCAAAACCCCACAGGTAAATTAAAGTTTCCAGTGTTTAAGCCATGATCCTAAATCCCAAATAATTTTCTCAACAACAATTTGAATGTTCCACTTGAGCAAACGTTTTGTCAAGTGTGAATGTGTATTTTGCTGAATTTGAAAAGGTTACTCTTTTTGTAGCAATAGCCTCATACACCAGAACAATTTTGGATTGATATATTGAGCTAGAAATTGATTTTACACCAAATCATATCTGCACCAACATGGTACCAAATTCATGTTATGCATGGCATCAGCAGGATCTTTAAATAAATTGCAAGAAACTGAGGCCAAGATTTTATATGTAAGCTATGGATAGAATCTCTTCTCTGATTGAGTTGAATAATTGAGTAGGGGAAGGAAAGAGACTAATGGAATGTCTTTCTTCCACATACATCAACTAGAGACCTCTACCTGTCTACCTCTTATCACTCGAGCATGGAGACAAACATCTCCTTCCTCCCACATCTACAATTTCAGGTGAGACAATCCATGGTTGGCACATCAAAGACCTAAAGCAATTTGTTTTGTTTACTTCTGTAGTAGACAAAGAGAGGAGTAAGCAAGTAGAATCAGAAAGCAACTCTTCACACTTTATCAAGCTTTGATTAGAAGCAAATACACATCTATTTCATAGAAAGGAAGACTAGAATATAAGCATTCAAATAAAAATATTAGGTCCAAAAGGACATGTTAGCTAACTGCACTTTTGCTTCAAGCAAGTAAATACAAGAAAGTGCCTTAGTTTCAGGATCTCCAAATGCCAATTAATAAGTATCACTAGACTCAAAAACCATTCACAGATTAGCTTTGAATTTTGAGACTGACTGAGCTATGATGTGTTAATCATAAGGCTTAAGTCAATTAATACCAACAAAAAAAAAAACATTGTGAAGTCCAACCATTGAGGGTCGGTTACATGCATCTTTTCCCGAAAACAAGTCAACTAATAACAACTTAAAATTTTCATTTGATTTGTTTTAACATATAATACACCAAAAAATTCATTACTGCCTTTGAAAGGTAAGTAACACATTATAGAATCATACAGTGGAGATAAGAAACAAACAGAAAGCTGAAAGGCCCAACATGGTGTTATTGATTTGGTCTCTAGCTGTATGATTATTGTTCCATTGTAGGATGTAGAGTTCAAATTCTTTCTAGAATTGAAAACCTTGCATTTCTTAATGATTATATCAAGTCCTATAAATTATCAGAATAATGTTGACAATGGTCATAAATGTTGAAAGTTAAATCAGAAATTGACCTTCTTCCTTGTGTGGTGGGAAGGAAAATGCTCAAATACAGATAATGATCCATCAACTTCAAAGTAAAAATTCTTCTATTGCTGCAGTTCTTCTCTTCTCTCTGGCTGCGGGCTGAACCTGATGAAGATTTGCAAATTAAAGAGGATTAAATCACTACCATATGCAATAAATATTAAGTAACAAAACCCTGTAGTGACATACTTCAAATAAGATCTTGATGTATGAGAAAAATAAGGAGAAAACTATAGAACAAGCAGATTTGCTGCAGCAAAGACAAACTCTGGCATTTCTTGGAGAAGGCAACAGCTATTTGCCTGGGCACACAATTGAGTGTAGGAAAACTTATGCTTGATATATATGAAGCATGGATCATGCCCATATGTTTTATGGAAGATTAAGATCTTGCTGGAAAGTCAATGTTAGTTTAGTCTTGACAAGCATAATTTATTTTAATAAACATGATGTGCATATCATCCTTATATCATTGCTGCAGTCATCCCATATGTAATAAATCATTCTTTAAACCAAAGGTACAAATTAAAATGTAGAAGCTGAGCTGTCTATTGGAAGGTGAAAAGTCAAAGTCTTGTTCTACAAATTGTGTATATTCAACTAATATCCATATCTCCATTCATGGATTATCAATTACCTACCACCAAAGTATGGTTCATGACTGTACAAGAACTTATGTAACCCATATGACTCTTATGCCCATTTTATTTTTGCATGTTCTAAAGAAAACACCTTAGAGAACACTGAGAAGCAATTAAAATGAGAAAATATGAGAAACTATAACACAGTAGCAGCATGTTTGAAGCTTTTTATTTGAAATATTACATACTTAAGCTCATAGGAAGATCTTAATCATAAAAGTCAGCAGTTCTGTTTTGTCATATCAATGAATAAAAATAAAAAGGAAAACAATTATTCCAACTTGAAAGACAGAGCTACTCAGAAGCTTCATTTAGACTGGTAAACCATTCAAAAGATGAAGCTACGAATCCGTGCTGCTTAGATATGGAACCACGTGGCTAAATTTGGATCTTGACTTTGGCTGGTCTAATTCAACGATGTTGACTTATGTTTAGTTTAATTATCCATATATATATATATATATAATTCATATATATATACAATTCATATATTATATATATATGTATATATATATATAAAGTTATCTTAGAATGAATTATAAACTTAATTTATCAGAATCAATTATTAATTGAAATCATGCTTTAAATTCAAACTTAATTATAAAAAATCATAAATTTCTTGATCATCTTTTCCCATCAGTAGTATACATACATTCTGTGAAATATCATCGGAAGGCCTCTCTCTCTCTAGCTTGAGTTGAACGACGCTCTCCATTGGTCCCCATTTGCTGTATCCCTCAAGTCTTCGTTCTTCCAATTGACCAAGTGCGAAGAACAGTGAACGGAGCAGAGAAGCAAGGTAAGAGGGGGAGAGATATGGCGGCCAACCCGCGGCGTGGATGGAGATGGGAGTGAATGGGTAACCACAAGTCATTCTGGAACTTCTCCAAACTCCACCGTCGCTCGCCTTCTTCCGCCCTGCCCGCGTCCTCCAGCACCACGGCGGCGGCGGAGATGCCCATGGAGTTCCTTTGCCCCATCTCCTGTTCCCTTATGGCCGATCCCGTCATCGTTCCCCCTTCCGGCCACACCTTCGAGCGCAGCTGCATCCAGGCCTGCGCCGACCTCGCCTTCTCCCCGCCCGGGCTCGCCGTTGACCTCGGCCTCTCCCCTCTCGTCCTCATCCCCAACGTCGCGCTCAAGTCCGCCATCCTCCGGTGGTGCGAGCGATCCGGAATCCCGCCTCCCATCCCCATCCCCCTCGATGCCGCCCGCTCCCTCGTCCGCGGCCTTATGCCTCCCTCCTTCGATCCACCCCCCGCCAGCCCGCCCCTTGCTCTCGTCGAAACAGAGGAGGTGGAAAAAGGCGAATCCTTTGGAGCGCGAGAGGGGACATACGCGTATGGTGGAACTGAAAGAGCGAGCGGGGGACGAGGTGAGGTCTTCAGAGGAGCAGCGGTCGCAGATTCTGACGGCAGATACGACGGAAAAGGTGAGGCCTTGCTAGCTTCTTCGGCGTTCTCGGATGAGAAAGATGGGATCTTTCGCTCGAGATCGAACCAGAATTTTAGGGAGGCGACGAGTCCCAACACTCCTCCCGCTTTCTCCGTTCGCACGAGGAAGCAAGCTTCCTCCTCTCCGCTGTCGACCTCGTCCGCGTACTCGTACCCCACCTCTTCCTCCAATTCCTCTTTCCATGAGGTCTTCGTGGAGGAAGCCTCCAAAGAGCCGCCACCACCACCTCAAGTCAACGATCCGACGGCTTCCGATCTTGCCCCATCTCCGACTGCGGAGATCGACGTGTCGGAGGAGGAAGTGGTGATCAAATTAATGAGTAAGGACATGTTCGAGCAAGAATCCACCGTGGTGTTGCTACGGCAAGCCACCAGGGAGAGCCTGAACAGCCGAATTGCCCTCTGCACGCCTCGTCTCCTCGCAGCCCTCCGTCCCATGCTCCTTACCCACAGCACCGCCATCCAGATCGATGCCACCGCCGCATTGGTGAACCTTTCCTTGGAGCCCGCAAATAGGGTTCGGATCGTCAAGTCGGGGACGGTGCTGCCGCTCGTGGAAGTGCTCGAGGGTGGCCACCCGGAAGCACGCGACCACGCCGCTGGTGCCCTCTTCAGCCTCGCCCTCGAGGACGAGAACCGGGCGGCGATCGGTGTACTCGGAGCCATCCCTCCACTGCTCAACCTTTTCTCCATGCCCTCCCCCGATGGAGCTCGCGCCCGCCGCGACGCCGGGATGGCGCTGTACTACCTATCTCTCGCTAGCGCCAACCGTTCCAAGATCGCGCGAGCTCCGGGGGCGGTACGGGCACTGCTCTCCGTGGCATCGGAGAAGGAGGAGACGCCGCCGTCACAGGGGCCGAGTTTGGTGAGGCTGGCGATGATGGTGGTGTGCAACCTGGCCAGTAGCACCGAGGGACGGGCGGCACTGATGGACGGCGGGGCGGTGGGTAGAGTAGTGTCGCTGATGAGTTCGCCGTCGGCGGCGGTGGAGGAGTACTGCGTGTCAGCGCTCTACGGGATGAGCCGCGGGAGCCTCCGGTTCCGCGGACTGGCAAGGTCGGCGGGGGCGGAGCGCGTGCTGATGCGGGTCGCGGAAGGCAGCGGGGGCGGCGGCGACATGCGACAGACGATGGCGAAGAAGACGCTGAGGGCCCTGAGGGGGGAGGACGACGACGAGGCGGCTGCCTCGCCGCCGATGGGATTCCTGGCGGACGAGGACGGTAGCGTCGTCTCGGAGGGGATGATGTCATTTCGCAGGCGTCCAAATCAGCATGGTAACTCGGCGCGTCTGAAAACGGCCGAGTTCTGAACTCGGCCGAGCCCCGACCGAGTTAAGATGAATCGCTCCCATCTCTATTTCCTTACTTGATTCTTAGCTGCTAATTGGTTTATTACACTTAAATTCCCCTCTGTAATCATCATCATCATCATCATCATCATCATCATGTTGTGCTTGTTGGAGTGTCTTTCATAAAAGTTCATAAATGTGAGGAAAATTATAAGATAAAAATAAGAATGAACATTTAGTGAGACATAAGGTTGATGTTACTATCAAATATATGAAAGCTTGTACCTTTCTTTCTTCTATGATTGAATTATACAACCAACCATTCAAATTGTATATAATATTGGTCTAAAAATATGTTCTTTTATTATCCTACTTCATTTTTTTGAAAATAAAAATCAATTAAATCAAATTGATAGAATCAGCAAAGATGGCCAATGAGACACACACCAAACCTCATCAACTCTCACCTTCTTAGCATGCAGAGCTACAGAATGCACATCTTAGTGAAGTCTCAATGAGTATTAGAATTATTTCAGTTGAATATCCATATAAATAACCTAAATGCTTGTGTTTGGGAGAATGAGCATTAAAGGTTATAAGCAATTGTTTATTTACTTGGTTAATAGGAGTTATCTTAATTAAAAACAATGGCTTAGAAATTAAAAGAAGGCCCAATTAAGAAAATGGTATGATTATAATCTTCATGGGTAATTGAGGTCTAATGAATGTATCGCTAGCTTTCCAAATTTTCTCATCTCTCTTCTATTGTCTCCATCTCTATCTATCTTTACAACAACGACACTTAATATCTTTATATATATGCTATTGAACTATATACAAAGTTATATCTTTATTTAAATCAAGGACACTTAAAATCTTTATTATAACTATTCAAAATATGTTCTCAAACCTCCCTTTATCCTACTTGCACTACTAATTAATTCTAAAATCATATAACTACAATATATGTATTGTAAATATATTTCTATAATTTTTATTTTTATTTTAAATTCACAAATAAAAATATTTTTTTAATCTTTTGTAGTAACTGATAAGCTCAATAGTTATTCTTATAAATGGTAGTAAGACATCACAAAAAGCTTCTAATGTCCCTTTTTATTATAATAATTTTTTTTCATGAATAATATCCTTATCAATTTGTTCACCATAATTAATTCAAGTTACCCAAAATTTTATTTACTAAAATTTTTTAACCATCCATTTTAATTTCGTTTTATTTCTTCAGTTAGTGATATCAAGATTACATCTCGTATATTCAGGTCGAGTCCTACTTAATTTGAAGTATTTAATTTCTACGATTTATCTACATAACCAAATTTATAATTAATTTCACTTGAACTCTACTTAATTAAAATAATATTAGATCTATCCCATACATTATTAGTAAGTTCATCCATTTCTATTTTTACAAAGTATGAATTAAGTAGGGATGGACAATCCCTATGATACATATCAATATAATTAATAAAGACATTTTTTCCCCTAAGACTTACCATAATATTTCTTTAGGAACTGCATGGTAGATTTTTTTTAAAATTTAATAAAAATCATATGAAAATTCTTTTTCTTGACTCTTTAGTTTTCTATTAATTACCTTAGAAAGTGAATAACTTAAAAAAAATCATTTAATGTAATCTATCTATAAACTTAATCTCTAAAATAATTATATTTCTCTCCTGCTGTCACCTACCAATCTGATAATGAAGTGAAATGTCAAATCAGATTGCTGTCAATGTCCTAAGCAGGTTCTTAGGACCTAACAAATACTCTTGCTAGACAGGCATGGTTAATGCAGTAGTTCTTCACAAAAACAAAAAAAAAGTTCCAAGCTCAAGTCAGTCACAGTTTAATCATATCTGATGTTTTACCTGTTACTGCTCATCTCAAGCAAAAACCCTACACTTGTGAACTCGAAGAACTGAAGCTTACCATGCCAAGTTTGATGCATAAAGAGTGTTGTAGTATCTAATTTTGTCCTTAAAGAAAGAGAGCAAAGCTCAAGCTGAGGCCTTGCTGCTGTTCTAGCAAGCCATTGGCACAAACTTGTCTGTAGCTATAAACCCATGTCAATCTATATCTGCAATATAAACTGGCATATCAAGCTTCATCTACCTGTCTGTTTGTTCAGTGGACTAGCCAGTAATGAATTCCCCAAGAAAAACATGTGAACATCACATGGTAAAGGTGGGCAGGCAGTAGATGCAAAATGATGAAAATAAACTAAGTCAAGATTATATGATGGAATATTCCTTTAGAAAAAGAAGAAACTAAATGACAATTTTCTCACTTCACTTTGTGTCTGGATCAAGGAACAAGGTCTTTGTCAGAAATGGCTGCTATCTACATGAGAAAGAATCTCCCTACCTAATGGTGACACTTAAGAACTATGGCAGAAATTTAACCCTAGGGTTGCTGACATTGAATTAAAATGGCATTTACAAGTGTACATGTGGCTTCAGGGAAATTCCAGTGTTTCTTCCACTTCCTTCAACTCACAGCTCCAGCAAAGGAAAGAAAAGGAGTGAAGAAATCAGGAACCTGAGGATGATAGATCATTACACCACAAATGATGAATTTGAATGAAAGGAAAACCTAAAAGTGTTCCACCTAGTAAGATCACATTTCCTTTTGTTCCTGTCTTCTTCACATATTTTCTTCTCTAGCAACAAGCAAAAATAACTGGATCTTCAATTAAATCGAACATATTTCAGGAAATTTTGTTTTTTTTTTTTTGGTGGGAAAAAAGGACATATTTTTAGTAATAATTTAAAAATGTTTGATCATATTGATCTCAAAATCGCAGATCGATAAGTCGGCAAGCCGACGTTTTTTTCGATTTGATATCTCCAAGCTTATAATGCTAGAAGAACATTAGATAATAAGAATTATGGGAGACCTGAAAAAGGATATGAGAAAAAAAGCTATAAGAATATCTCATTGAAGACTGAGGTAATGAGCAATCATATGCTCATGTTCTCTATTTACTCAAGCCTTTGAAGCTAAAAATCCATGTGATCAGTAATCTTTCTGTCTATTAAATCAAAAGAACTATGATTTTGAAGCTTGTACTGCTTTTACACAAATCTTTAATCAAACATAAATCCAGAAAATAATTTTCTAACATATCATCATAATGTTTCAGCTAACCATCTATTATTCTCCATATATAATAAATAAACAAGCCTGTTTTATGGTTATTGGATATGTATTTTGTGAATTATGCCCAAAATCTGACTTAGATTCAGATTAATGTGATTGCACTGTTATTGCAAAATTAAATACAGCATTTCCCTTTTCCATTCAACAAACACTTGAGTGTGGTTAGATGAATAAAACTGCATGCATAAGAACAAATTGCAAGGTTAACATACTAATAGCAAACTTTGAGATGGTCCTCTTTATAGCTTCATGGGCATGCATTAATGACTAGGGAACATGAGCTTGCACTGCAACTTGATGATCAACATGTGATCTTCTTTATAGGTAGTGTCTAGAATGATGAATTTTCTGATAGATCAGTTATCATCACCGAGCTTCTTAAAGACTGTTGATGAGAGACAAGAGCATATCGGAGAAGAGAATCTCATCAGCAGATAATAATTCAATCATGACAGTTTATCAGGAATTCAACAGGAAAAGGAGGACAGCAAAAGAGGATGTTGGATCTCCTCCACAAGCTGTTAATAATCTCTGAAAGATGAACAAATCAATCAAGAAGCTCACAAGAATACATGACCACAAAACCACATCAACTTGAGATCGAAATCGCTACACCACAGCTGACTTCTATAAAGGGAGAGATCCGAATGGGAGAAACCGAAGGCAAATTAAACATGATAAAGACACAAAACTTACAGGGAGAAGACAGTACTCTAGTGATGTCTGGTTATTACACTACATATAAGTAGCTAAAGCTGAAAGGATCGGACCAAGACGCTTGATTCCCCGTGGCAAGAATAGGGGAGAGAGAGAGAGAGAGAGAGAGAGAGAAAGAGAGAGAGAAGCATCCCACATAGCTATCGTCTTATCTTCTCTTCATCTCCTCCTCCTGCTCGCTTTAGCTTTTACCTGACCTCCCACTTCTGCTGAAATGATGGGGTAGTAATGATGACTGACCAAAAGGAGCAGAAGAGACGGGTGATGGCGGTGGCAGGAGCGCCATGATTGATGCTGAGCTGAAGGGCGAGGAGAGGAAGAGAAACCAAGCTGGTGGTGACTGGTACTACTAGGCTATCTTCTTCTTCTTCTTCTTCTTCCTTCTCATGATCACATGGAGGACTCATCCATAATAATTGGATGTGAGTACATCATACTACATTCCTCTTGAAGATAAAGGTTGGGAGAGACCGAGAGGTTCAAAGCGACAAGTGAAAGGGAAAGGGATGGGGATGACATGTAAGGCTTTCCGCACAGTGCCGCTTCTCCTCACTGTTGTCTTGGTGACTCGGAGAAGAGGACACGGGTGAGCAAATGTGTTGCACGAATCCCAAAGCACCGGTGCGAAGGAGCAATCACCAGGGTGACTATAATTCATTATTTGACTTTGACGCGGCCATTTGCTTTGACTTTGACTACAATTCACATCCGCTTTAAATGGTCTCTGAAATGTTCGAAAGTTGCCTCATGATTATTATCTAATAAATCATTATTTAATCTTCTATAAGTACATAAAATCACAATAACAATAAAGTTATCCGTGCATACTAAACTAAAACCCTAAAGATTATAATATTTATTATATATGTCACTTAATCCTTAATTTTCTTAATTGTTCGAATAAAATGAATTTCCAAAACGAATTTTTTTTTTATTGATCAAATATTCACCAAGTATTTCTGTAGAATTAATTTTTTTCTTTTATCATTCGAGAATAATTAATATAAAATGTCTGATCTCATGGCCTGTCATCATTTACATATTAATTGAACCGTATCAATGCGTCTCTCTTAATCTCAAGAAATTGAAGGGCAAAAATAATTATCCACATAAATGATGCACTCGATTCCCCCGAGAAGCTCGTTCTGCAAGGGAACCACGAGCCTCCCTCCGCCACTCCTTCCGCGGGGTCCACCGGCCGACGCGGACCGCGAGTCGAGGCCGCTGCGATGGGTGGCGCTGCGGGGCCCCGAGTGCGATCTCCGTCGACGAGTAATTTATTGCTCAATAAATTGAAATTTCAAAAAAATAATAAAAATCATTTTATTAATTATCATTTTTTATTTTTAGATGACGTTAGATCGAATTTTCGATAGAATAATTATGGTACGTATTAATTAGATTAAGATGAATACATCGAATTGGTGCGCGGTCTCACTGATTGCCTTACAAATGAGAGGCGTCCTTTAGCGACAACATTGTACGAGTGGGCGGCTATGCTTCTTCAAGCTGCGCACAGGTAAAGTTACTGCAGCACGCCATGTTCTCGGGGCTCAAGCAGCCCGGGCTCTTAATGCCCATGCCATTTACCTGCTACGCCTCCCTGCTTCCACTTTCGTGAATATTTTTTTGGCTTGCGTTTGTGCTGTTTAGGTGTCAATTGTTGCTGCGGAAGGAGAGCAGGTTTTGATTTATACCTCCTACTAATTTGAGGAAGAACACTGCCTGAAACATGAACAGGCCTCCATGGTTTGACAGGGAAACCTTTACGCAACCTGTGCATCGAGATGAGACACTTGAACGTTCGAAATATTGGAGTCTGCGAAGATTATACTGTTTTGCTCGGAGCGGCTTGAGCTGGAAACCAAGAACGCGAATTGAATGCAGAGTTGAGGTGGGGAATGAGGATGCGACAGTCGCGCCACCCTCGGCGGTGGGCGTCACGTGCGGTCCTGTGGTACGGCGCTCGTCTCCTTTACACGAACCCCTCCCTGCATCAAGCAACGCCACCAAACACCAAGGTGAGATCCTGCGTGATGAGATACGGAGAGAGAGAGAGAGACTGTGTGTGATTGTTGGGCTACGGAGAGGCCAACAGCAGCTCCTCTGCGCCTTCGGCACGGTTCAGGACCGAGCTTGCAGGCTTTTACAATTACTATCATCCTCCCTCTTCCTCTCTGTCTCTCTCTCTCTCTCTCTCTCGAATGCATCTCTTTCTTCTCTCCTTTGTCTCACCTTTCTCTGTCATTCGTCTCTCTCACACTACTATTGTCGAATGCAAATAATGATGACAATGATAACAATTTTGGTGGCGATGTTGGAGTTGTCAGGGGCACTGCAGCAGTGATCGGACAAGAAGAACGCTCGAGGCGTGTCGTGATGCGTGCGTGTACGTGAAAGATAGAAAGATGCATTGATGGAGAGATAATAATGCAGCAAAATGGCGAAATATGCCTCCTGCTACTGCTGCTCCCGCAACCGCCTCTATTATTTCCACGCCCACAGAGCGCGTATGGGGTTCCCGTCCTGGGCCTTCATCCCCCCACCCTTGCCGTCATCTCTCTTCCCCCTCCCTCACTCTCCCTCACTCCTCCTCATTTGGGTTCCTTGATCTCGAGGCCTTTTGAGTGCTCGGCGATCCGTTTGAGCTGTTGGATATGGAGGAGCCGGTACCCCGCGCGCCTCAGCCGGCTGCGGCTGTGGTGGTGGCGCCCAGGCCCAAGTCGCCGCCCAAGTACCCCGACGTCTGCGGCCGCCGGAGGCTGCAGCTCGAGCTGCACATCTTGAACCGCGAGATCGGTTTCATCGAGGTAACTAAAAAGCCACCCCATAAATCCTCGCAAAAATCTCATCTTTTCTTCTCCTGTTGCCGACGGTGCATGACTTCGTGAGCTTGATAGCTATGCTTTCGACGTATCTTTGTGAAGTTCCAAAGGTTCCTCTTTTGGCTAGTTTTTTGTGCAAATCTTGAGTGCTTGTGATGGCTACATTGGGAGGCAACTTCTAATGAATTATTTTGTGGTGTTTGGTTTCTTTAATTTGGAAAGATAATCTTAATCAAGCTTACATTTTGTTTGAAGAGTAAGCCAGTCTTGCTGCCTCTGAAACAGAGCTAAATCTTAGGAGTCTTGTCCGAATGAACAGATACTGAGATATGCATCCTGTCATGTAAAACAAATCAGTATCAAATCAACTTTGTCAAATTTATCAAGGCAATCAGAGATTATTTAAGTGGCCAAAGATGCTGATGTGGCCAAAACAACTGTTCACAAGAATTGGATTGACATGCCTCATTCAACATGTGACTGTGGCTACAGCTCCCCTGCTGTGATAGAGCTTTGATGTAATGCTGAAACTATTTGGATTGACTGCTTGTTACATATATATATATATATAAACAGACACACTGGAACATTTATGAATGTCATATGTGAGATTAGCAGCATGTTCCTCCTTTGTATGAATTTAAATTTTGACTTCGAGTTTACATGTCAATTTGCCATATTAAGACTGGTAGAACTACGTAGTATCAACAGGAGGAAGGAAAGATTGTAGTTTCTGACCAGCAAATTGCTAAATGATCTATTCAAGGAAATGCCTTGAAGGGAATCTCTTATTGTGTGGAGTGGACATCTATCTGTATAAAAAGATTGCAGCATGAGCATGTAAAATCTTACTGGTGCTGATGTGCTGCTCTGTTATGGTACTGTGAAAACTTTGTTCTGCAAAATATAAATGTCTCATTGGAATTTTATGTTTGAGCAGGAGGAGTTGCAATCGCTCGAGGGAATTCAACCTGTTTCCAGATGCTGCAAGGAGTATGCTTCACTTGTCAGATCTTGTATACTATTTGTCTTTATTTAGTGATTCAGAAAGGAAAACTCGGTAGGTTGTCTCCAAATATAAGCTTTACAGAATTTAAATGTTTACACAAGAAGAAATCACCGTTCTTTTCATTTCTTGCAATGCCACTTTCTTTTCTATGATAACAAAGATTCGGTTTTTTTTTTCTTTAGAATCTATATATAATTCTTGTACCAATTTTAGCACTTTTATTAAAATCCATCTAGTAACATTCTTGATAATGTTGACCATCTGAATAAAGTTGTGGCATCTGCTGTAGCCAATGCAGAACTTTCAACTATATCTGAGACGATAGAGTTTTATACAGATTCATAAGTCATGATTACTTTGCAGGGTAAACGAATTTGTGGAGATGAAACCAGATCCACTGATGCCTATGTATGATTCTCCAACTTCACCTGTTGTGTACCAAGATTTATGTAAGAGAATATAACATCTGCAAGTTCTTTTCTGTCAATTAGAAATAAACGGAGGCACAAATCGTGTTGCTTGTGGAGATGGCTGCGGTACTCCCTCAACTCAGTCACCTGTTATCAGTTTCGTTCATTGAATCACTGTACATTTATAATGTCATTTGATTTATACATGTTCATAGACTACTTTTCTGAGTGCAATTCAACAAAAATTATGCAACCTCGAACCGACTTGATATATCAATTTAGCATATTCATGTTAGCATCTTGTTTATAGAAGAGCATTTATATGAGTGACAATTACTTGTTTTATTGAATCAACAGGTCAAAGCTATGCTTGGACTTCTCATGGATTTGCTGCTTAAGCTGGTACATCCTCGGGCTTGAAAGATCAAACTGTTCTTGTCCACAAAACTGTAGCTGTTGCGACTATGGGTGTCCCTGCTCTGAGTGCTGCGAGGGTCTTACCAGTAGACCATGCTGCTGTTGTTCAGGGATTCCTTGCAGTTGCTCAAAGTTTCCTTGTAGTTGCATTAAAACATATTTCAGCTGCTTGAAAGTTCCTTGCGGTTGCAGCAAAAAATGCAACAGCTGCTCCAAATTTTCTTGCAGTTGGGGAGAAACATGCTGCAGCTGCTCAAAAGTCTCGTGCAGCTGCAGTTGCTCAAGCTTGTCATGCTTCAGACCTCAGTGCAGTTGCTGGAATGCTTCCTCCTCCAGTCCTGGCTGCTGCAAGTGGTGGTCTTCCCGCTTCAAACCACGGTGTTCCAGTTCATGTTGTGATCAGCCATCATGCTCCGATTCATGTTGCAACCAACCACTGTGCGGTAGCAGGAGGCCTTCTTGCTGTCCTCAACAATGGTGCTGTGGCTGCTGTAGACCACAATGGTGCTGTGCCGGAAGACCTCCATGCTTCGGATCATGCTGTTTCCGAGATTGGTGCTGTAGTCTGAGACCTTCACGCCCCACAACCTGCTGCCGTCTTCCAAACCTCTCCGGTCCTCAATGCTCCTGTGGCTGTTCCTGGTCCTGCTCCAAGTCTACAGGAGGATGTCTATATTAAGATCATAACACAAACTTGTATTCCTTATAATGTGGATGAATCAATGCATAATGTTGAGACATTGTGATCAATAAATGCATTAGTCCCTCCTGCCTTTCATTTGGATTCACCCAAACAGTTGTTCTTCAGGGAGTAATAATTTACATTTCTTTTAGAACTCCTGTAATTGTCGTAACCACAGATGAATTATATTATTTATAGACTGAATTACTTGGAAATGATTATACTATTTGTTAGTGTAAACAATTTTAAGTCGTGGCATCGGGGCCGACGCGGCTTGGTTCGGGTCAGGTCCGAATGATGGGGGATCTTTCTGAGACAACTCTTGAGATTGCATAAGACCGACTGCGGTGGTCCGATCGCGAAGGGGTCATCGTTTCCTCTGGGAGGGGGCTCCTCGCTTGGGTGTTTAGTGGGAGGCCTTTGTCTTCGCACCTGCACACAAGTCGGGTTGGGAGAGCTCAGCCCGACCATTCCGACGATCAAATTAGTAAATAGTCGCAGGGGGTTTTTTTCTCCTCATTTTTTCCTCGGAGCGCGAGGGTTTTTATAGTGAAGGTTATCGTCGCCTGATGTGCCCGCTTACAGGGAGCAGGATTGTACTCCTGGTAACGTCTGACATCGATGTTTGCATGGCATGGCATGAAGGACCAAGCCTGAGCGGGATGTTAATGTGCCTCGGTCGGCGTTCCGATCCGTGTTGACCAAGTGCTGTCAGGTTAACAGAGGCGCGAGACGTCATCTAGAGCAGCTGACGTCAACTCGAATCTTATTGTCATTATTACCCTCATCACTATTAATTTGAGCTTGTTATAGATCTTAATTTATTCATATGTTTAAGTGCAAACAGTAGTATATCTTCATGATGTAATCCGACGGTGTTCAAAATAACTGTGCCTGATTTATTGACCGGAGGATCCGAAGTCCGTTTGATAAGGTTGTCGGATCTAAAGAGTTCTATCCTAGATTTGGATCGGATCATCGTGTTATCGGGTTCGGGTTTCTACCTGAAGGAAACGTGACAGTCACGTGCTATGAGATCACGAGGGTTGCACTTAGACCAATCTAGACCAGGTGCAAAAAACTTTCGAACAGGGTTCAGTATTTTACACCACACATGAGCGTCAGGCCCACAACTGAACCTTTGTCTCCGCAAAGTTACTGGAGTCTGAGCCGAACCCTGCAATATGCACGACAGCAACTGAACTTCGTACAAACTGCAGCGAAATCTCGGTGTTTTGATACGAACAGCCTGATGCGTCGCTGACCACATGCTATCCGTCACGTGTCACAACAGCACAAGCGAAAAAGAGAAATTCTCTTTGTACGCCTCGTTAATTACCCGAGCGTGTACCTTCGTGGCGAAGATTATGGAGCCCACTGCGGACTTCTGCTATATAGTCTCGTGGGTTCCACGCGACCTCAACGCGCCACCGAACGATCGTCGTGTTCCCCCGTTTGGATCAAACCCTCGTGTCTGTCCCTCGACTTCGATGGCCGCCTTCCGAAGACTCACCGAGTCGACCCACTTCGCCGCCCTCCGTTCGAGCTCTCAGGTTCGTCGCTACTCTCCCTCCACTTTCTAACTCATCTAGAATAGATTACCTATCGGATCGATGATCTGTCGTTGATCTCGTCCCTGTCGTCATCTTTTCCTTGTTCTTCGTTGCAGAAGGAGGCGTCGACGTCGCCGAGCAACCAGATCTCTCGGCGCGGATACCACATCGACCTCGGAGCCCGCGAGAAAGCGGTGGGCCCATCGTCCCTCTCTGATTCCCTTTCTGGTTACCTCTTCAATTTTCTTGATTTCTGACGAAAAATAGGTTTTGATGCCCGCGTTGCTGTCCACTTACTTCATCAAACATAGATTAGGGAGTTCGGTGGTTGATTTTTAGGAAAGTAAAAAGATTTTGTTTTTCGGTTACGGTCGATAGATCTTGCGGTCATTGATCGATGCATCCTTTTTTTTCCTTTTCTCTTTAGGTTCACCTTTTTTATTATTCTAGAACCATTATCTTCATTTTTTTTCCTTGGTTACTGTAGGTGTACATAGTCCTAATCCTTGATAATTGGAAAAACAATGAGTTGCAGGTGCTTGTTGGTTTCATTTTCAAAGTATCGATTAGGCATTTTTCATTGTAGGCAATAACAACCAGTTCTCATGATCTACTACTGAATGCTAAGGATTCCTCTTTGAGTCTTTCGAATTTGTGGTAGAGAATTAACCTAATTCTTCACGTTAGTTGGCTGCATCATGCCTAATTTGCAGTTGGTCAGTGTCTTAACTGGATATACCTTGCTTTAGCTGCTGAACTTTTTCCCTTTTTTTCCTTCACTGAATAATCTTAATCAATGTTCTTTGCAGTGACTGATGTATGGTATTCTACTCAGCATAAGGGATATTTCAGTTTTTCTCTTGAAATTAAAATTTTGTTTAACATGGAAAATATAGGTGGTTTCGGTGGCAGTTGTAGTTTATATTCAACATCTGTTTGTTGTTTTTTCTCAACAGCTCTTATTAATTTAGAAACAAAATGATGTTACTATATATATGACACTGGCTTGTAAGGACCTTGGAGAAATTAGCAAGAAGCATCTACTGTTGTAAGGTTTCAGTATTGCTACTGAGGTGTTTAAAGTAATAAAGTTTAGATTTAAAATCTGCATCTGTTAACCAAATTAGTTGGTAGCACATTTGCTGTACTACCTTATTTAAGCATTAACCAATCGTAATTTTGATGTCCTATGTTGTTTGAATTATAGTATCCCTTTCACCAAGTTACCTTAACATTCTGCAATGCCTTTTATGGACATTATATTCATCGTTCCTGATTTCCTCGAATTTAGAGTTTTGAATGTTGCAATCAGCAATTACCCTTCAATATGAGATCCATATAGAGCAAAGCATTGTTGTCTTTATATCATGAGAAAACATTCATGCAACTACTTCAAATCAGCAATTAGTTAAAATAATATTTTGGGTAATTGTAACATCAGAAGTGAAACAGGGTTAAGATAAGATTATTTGAAAGAAAAGGTGGAAGGAGGGAGAAGAGCTTAAAACATGGGACAGCAAGGTTTAGAAAGCCAGATGGACAGTTATATTATATTTCTTTACACAGAACTTATATGGCATCCTCTTGGCCCTTTGTTCATGATTACATTCTGGTCTTGTTTGAGTTGCAAGTCACTGCAAGGGATATGATCAGTAGTCCTTTTACTTCTTAGGCAGACCATTCTTTGATGAATTCAATTGCCATGATTCATCACCCCAGATCTAGAATTTGCTAAAAGTGGAGTTAAGATCAGCCTTTTTAAATATATTTTTACCAATTAAATTGTAGTGTAGCAGCATAAAGAAAACTAGTTGCTTGGATTTATTGTGATACTGTTGAATTGGCCTGCAGTTGGAATGATACTGTGGCATCCAACTCAGACCGCTACTATGCCACCCAACTGAGACCAACCTTGCACAATTGATAACATGGGCATCATCTAGAAAGTGTACATGTGAGTCTATTACTCAAAGGCTCTAATTGGACATTATTTTATCTGATATACTCCTGATGGAATAAAGAGTGCTTCATTTGTTGGTTCATCTGAGACCACTCATGGATAAAATTTACACAATATGATGGTGGAGGCTGATGAAAAGTCTTCTCATGATGAAAAACTTCTTTAGTATATTAATGTTGCGTCAATAGACTACTCATAGCCTTATGCTGGTAGAATTGAAAGGGACTTATTCAATAACAATCACTTTAACTCTAGAAGGAACTTTAAAGCTAAACAGGTCCTTACAGTTTCTGCATGCATTTATTCTCTTAATGTAATATTATGTCTGAAATTCTTATACCTTCATGTCTCCAGCACTCTGCTTGTTTCTGCATTCTGACTCTGGTTGGTAATTGCATGATCACAGCTCTTGGAAGAAGATCCAGCATTAAAGAGGTTCAAATCATATAAGAATAACCTGAAGCGGGTGTCAAAAATCGGGGATGTTCTTACTATACTTGTTGTTGCTGGTATGGTTTTTGTCATATTTCTATCTTTAAAGCTTCCAGTCATCATGCAACAATATCCTTGTTGCAGTGTATAATTTTGTCATACAAATTCATGTCACTAAAGCAAACCCTTTTAGGCAGGATTATGTGGTATTTTTTCATAAATCGGTGAGTGTCTTGACTTGATTACAATTGATTGTCACTTGAATGTTGTGCTGATTGACACAGTAAATAATGTAATCAATTCAGGATCTATACAATCCCAGACTAGTCCTTGGGCCCTTGCTTGGTTTTTAACTTTCATGCTATGATGATCTTTTCCATTTTGTAGCAGTAAGAGAATTGGTGATGCCGGAACTGGCTTATGTATGCTGGCTTTGTGAATTATCTTATATAGGTTGTGCTTATACTATTTTGAAATTATGGTCAAAGGGTTAAATTGTGAGGTTTGCAAGCAAGGTTCAACTGCCTAGAATCCTTATTTAATTAATGTTCTTAAAAATTAAGTCATATAGATTCTAAAAGAAAAATGAACTCTCGACTAACGTGGCTCGATTTAGACCGAATCTAAGCCAAATCTAGACTGTTCTGGTTACATCATGTATTCTCCGAGGACTATTGCCAAACCAAAGTTTATTAAGTAAGAATTGCTTCTGCAATTTTAACTGTCTTATTTGTATAGATGCAAGAAAAACTATGCAAAACCCTATGTTTTTACCAGTCATAAGATCATTAATATTTTTCTTCTTATCCTGTTAAAATGCTAAAAAAAACGTTCATTTATTTGCACATCCTTGTGTTAGATATCATTTGGTTGGATAAATTGACTCAGATGCTTATTGGTTTACAACTAGGATATTTGTAGGTAGTTTAGGGACAATTTGAGCCCTAAAGTTGGTTATGGTCGAGTCAGTTTCGGGTTAAAAGTGTCTTTGGGTCTTTTTTAATCTATTCTATGTCAATTTAGATCTTTTCTTTTATTTTTCATATGGGTTCTTCAATTAAGGCTTTTTCAAAGATGTTCAGTTTGAACAAGAGTCCAACTGATAGGAACTCGGACAATTATTTTCTGGATTAGTTCTTGGAATCCCAGATCAAAATGTGTTATATAGTGGCATTTTGGGGTGGTACCTCTTGTTTGCATGCTCGTGCTGGCCGAAAAATGGCATAGTTATCTTCCATCAAGGTTAGTGTGGTCCTTGCTGACACCTTTCTGGCATGATATGTATCGACCTATATCAGCGCACCACCAACTATGATTCTTGTCCTAGATGGTTTAGAAGCCCTAATATCTCTAGGTTCAATGTTGGGTTACTTATTGAGGTCTTTCCATCAGTTGCAATAGCGTTCTGTTGGTGAGTATTTTTTGGTGACAGTTGAATAAGTCAGAATGCTGGGGCTATTAAAGTCTGCAATTTTTTTTATCACTTGTAAGAAAATTATATGTTCTTCGGTATGACTCGGATGTGTTCTTTATACCTTCACAAATTTTTTTTGCTTGTTCACTGTGTTCAATACTCTCGAACTTCTTTCTTGATCTCTTTTCAGCCTGCACGTATGAGCTTTATGCAGTGGCAACTGTGAGAAAGGATCAGAGGCAGCAGCATTGACGATCTGCAATCAACTGAAGAAATTGCACAAGGATGCTCTTCACCTGCTGTTTGTAGACATTTGCTTGTTTCTTTCTGACGAAACCTCTCTTATTTGTGATGCAGAATAAATTTGGCTCCAACTCTATGTCCAATAGGACCTTTAATTCGATTCGCAGCTGTATTCTCTCTCTATGAAAGCAGAGAATGTTTTGAGTATGTAGCTTTCCTTGGAAGTGCAAGTGGCAAATTTGGTTATGACTCGTAAGTCTGGTACATCAATTGATCAGACTTGAGAACAAGGTGCAAACCGAGTCAGATGGCTAAAGAATAAGGCCACATCTGCTTTATGGATGTGGCGGATTAAGCTGGCAGACGTCAAGAAGGATTCAGTTAACCTGATCGACAAATTTTGTTCCTTTAATGAGGATGATTTTGAATAAATTATAATAATTCTTTTTTACACTCTCTAGTATAATTAGTATATTAATATAAATAATATTTATATTTATATTTTATTCTTATTTAGTAATATGATTTGTGATGTTTATATTTATAAATATGATAAATAATATCTTCATGTTTTTTATTTTTAAGATTGAAACATATATTTTTTAAAGAAATTATTTTAATATTTTTATAAAATATTGATTCAGCATGTATAAGAATTAATGTTTTAAACATATTTTACAAGCAGAAAAAGGTATTTTATGATTAATATGTATGTATATAATAATTAATATGGGGTTATGTTAAGGTAATAAATATATATATAGTGATTAGAAGTGGTATAATCAATCTTAAGTGAATCTGAGTTTGAACATGATTAAAGTAAAAAAAATTAAATTTTAAATCTCATGCGGAAGGTCTAAATAAAAATATAATTAAAGATGAATGGTGATATATAAGATTGAAGGATAAGTTTAGTCAAAAAAATATTATTTTTATCAAATTAAATTAGATTTAATTAAAGATTATTATACTTTTATAATTATATTAGTAAAATAATAAATAAATAAAAAACTTTGAATAATGTTCAATAGGATTGAACCCTATACCTCAGGGTATTTTTTTAAGCACTTTCATTTTATTTTTGTTTTATTCTCTTTATCAACTTAATAATTCATGATCCTTTTTTTTTTTAATCATTCTTTCAGCTTTTTTTTTTTCATGGAGGTCAAGAAATTTTAACTTTAAGTAAGATTGAAGTAAGAAAAACTCTATTCTTTTCATACTATATCTAGGGTTTTAATTTTATAAATTATAAACTGATTTTTTAAGTTATTTTTTAGTAATCTAGACTTTGAATTTATTTTTGATTTTTTGATATGTTTTGTATTAATCTCTTATGATTCTAAGGTTTTTAGTATGACTTTAATATGGGATTGGTGCATGGAGTTATTTTTGTCTCAATCTAATATACTCAGAATTTTTTATTTTCTAATAAGGGATTCTATTCAAGCTAAATTGACTCTCTTTAAAGATAACACTAGACTTTATCCTTTTGATATATTTTAAAAAGTTCACTTAGGGTTCCAAGATACGAGGTTTATAAGTTCATTAGTCCCAACCCAATTTCATCGTAGCAAAATATGTATTAGTATTTAATTAGGAGAATAGTTTAGACTCCAAATAATTCTATCTTAAATTAAAAATTAGTGTGTATTTAGTTTACAAAATTCAAAATTATGTGATGGTTTATGTCTCTTATTTTTATAAAATTTTATGATAATTCAAGATTATTTGATCAGCTAAAATAATGAAGTAAATTTTTTTCATAGAATTATGTGATAGTGTGTGATTGATAATAGCTAGTTCATTGATTATAAAATTAATTGTTGAAAGATTAATAGTGTACTTTAGATAAATTTTCAGATTGAGTGATATTAACTAGCGATTTTGTCAAATTTTTTCTATGAATTATTATTTTAAATTATTATAAATTAATAATTCAAGAGATATGATTCTCAATTGAGGCATCTCATAATCTTATGCTCCCAATTTGATGGATTTTTTATTTTCTAATACATTTGCTCATTAAGGAACGTGGTCTTTCATTGTTATTTTCATTTTGAGTTAAGTCAGGTAAGTATAAGTTTATTTCACTGTAAAACAGTGGTCCAATAAATTATTATCTTTATAATATATTTTGAAAAGCATGTTTTGAATTATATGATTGTCAATGTAAATGTATATATATTGTAAGTATAAAACTATGTGAATTGCGATAAAAATATCTTGTATACGTGCATATATGATGAAGTGGATGTGAGAAAGTATATATGTTTTCTATGATATGCGGTATGCAAGTATATGGATATGTTATGACATACAATGCACATATATGCTATGATGTGAGGTATGAAAGTGTAGTGTATATATGTATTATAACGTGTAGTATAAGAGTGCATGCATATATTATGACATACAGTGTGAGAGTGCATATTTATATTATGACGTATAATGTGAAAGTATACGTATATATTATGATGCGGTGTGAGAGTGTGGTGTGAGTGTATGTATATATTACGATGATGTACGATATGAGAGTGTAAGTATATATTATGATATGGAATATAGAAGTTTATGGATTTACTATATTTTCTACATGTGCATATAAGTATTTTAAATTATTTCAATGTAGAATTTTACCTCTTTATCTATCTTGCTTATGCTATGTTATAGGATTGTGCTTGTTAAAGAATTCATAGAATAATATATTTATTATTAATTATCTTATGCTAATGATTTTAAAATATGATATACATGACATAATAAATACTCACTTAAATAAATATATAAATATTTATGCTTATCGAGTCGAGTCGTTACTCACGTCCTATTTTACAAATAAGGATACTGGTACCCCACTCAAGTAATTGGGTAGAAAAATAAGCACGTGCAAGTTTATGCCAACGTAGATATAGACGATGACCTATGAATATTTTATATATATAAATTTTAAATATATTATGTTTATATATAAATTTTTTAATTAGATGTTATAATTATATATAGGTATTAAAATCATTCAATACAAGAAAAATTTAAAATATGATATTCTATTTTATGAGTGAAATTTGGAGTAAACTCATGCGAGTTTATAACTTGATGATTTTTGTACATCCCCTAGTGGGATTTTAATTGCTGTTCTCCTTTCTGCATGCTCTCTAAAGGTGGCACCCAAAGTTCACTTCGGAGCTAAATTTGTGAGTCAACGCGTGTCAACCCATTCGAGATTGCGGCATGGTTTGGGTCGGAAACGCTTTGCTTAACGGGTCCAGATTTATTCTGCTTCCTGACTCCGGAAACTGCTAAGATGTGAGTTCCTTCAGTTGCGGCTCAACCACTTCAAACCCTGAGGAGAAGGGGCGGCCGCGGCGATGGTTCCCTAGCGGAGACACAGCCGCCCTTCTCCTCCGCCTCGTCTCCAAGCAGCATGAGAACCTTGCTGAACTCTTCCAAATCCCTCGCCTCGCTGCTGCCCCGCTCCATCCATATCCCCAAACACTTTTGCTCTTCGCCGGCCTCCGCTCTCCCTCCGTCCGACGATCCCAATACCGCCGATGAACCGCCGGTTCCAAGCCCAGCCGGTACGACCGACACCGATGGCTCCGCTCATCCGCTGCAACGACTCGTTGATGCATTCTCCATCACGTCTTCGAAGCGAGTCATCGATTTCCTTCTGCGCAAGCAGCGACAGCCAAAAGAAGCCCTCGAATTCTTCAATCGATTTCAGGTGCAGGCCGCTGTTGGGAGCGGCTTCCCTGATGTCGATCCCTTCTGCATCATGCTTCACATCCTTGTGCGCGCCGGGCAGCTGTTGAACACCCGGGAGTTGATGGAAAGGTCGATTCGTAGAGGTTTCATTCCACGTTCCAGCGTCGTTGTGGATCGTCTTGTGGAGACGGCGAAAAGGTGCGATTCCGATCCTAGTACCTTTGATCATGTCTTGGGGTGCTATGCGCGTACCGGTCGGATAGAAGAAGCACTGGAAGCGTTCCAGAGGATGGTGGAGAACGGCATCGTTCCTGGTATCGAATCTAGGAACCATTTATTGATTGCCATGCTTAGGTCGGGTTCCTTTGGCAAAGCTCGAGAGTTTTTTGAGGTGATGCGGGCTAAAGGAATGACTTTTGATTGTTATACACTTGATATTATGATGCATGTGTGCATAAAAGGAGGGGATCCAAAGGCTGCCGAGGTCTATTTTAGAGAATTAGTTGACGGTGGACGGTTGAAGCCTGATGCACTTGTTTATAGGACATTAATTCAGTCATTGTGTGGGCAGTCTGACGCCAAGAGAGCTTGTGAGTTCCTGAGTGAGATGAAAGGTGTTGGTATGGTTCCTTCTGCATTCGTCTATAATTTGGTTATTGGAGCTTGTGTTAAACAGGGAAACTTGGCAGAGGCATCTAAGTTGAAAGATGAGATGCTTGGTAGTGGACTGTCCATGAATTTGGTTGTTGCGACCAGTTTGTTGAAAGGTTATTGTGTTGTAGGAGACCTAGATAGTGCTTTGGATTTGCTTGCCAGTGTCCTCGAGCAAGGAATAGAACCGAACAATGTCACTTATTGTGTTCTGATCCAGGGTTGCTATAGAATTGGAAATGCGGAGAAGGCATATGAACTTTACTGTCAAATGAAGGAGAGGGGCATGATACCAAATGTATTTACAGTGAACTCTGTTATAAAGTGTCTGTTGAAAGCTAATAAGTGGAAAGAGGCATTTGATTTATTTGATGAGGCAGTTGGATCTGGTGTACCGAATGTCTTCACTTATAATATTCTTATGCAATGGCTTGGTCGTGTTGGTAGAATGAAGGAAGCTTGCAGGCTATGGGCCAAAATGGAGGAAATGGGAGTGGAACCCAATGTTGTTTCTTATAACCAGTTGCTGTTTGGTCATTGTGTTAGGGGAGATTTGGAATTGGCGGCTAATTTGTATACTCAAATGTCACAAACAGGTATAAAACCGAATGTGGTCACCTATACAATTTTGATAGAGGGTTACATGTATAAAAATGATTTTAACCAAGCTTATGATGTGCTTAATACAATGCAAAATATGGGTATTGCATGTAACGACTATACATACAACATTGTTATTAATGGCCTATGCAAAGCTGGTCGTATGACTGAAGCGAAGGACATGTTGCACAATTTTATGGAGCAAGGTTTTATTCCCAATGGCATGACCTATAACAGTATGGTTGATGGCTTCATAAAGAAGGGCATGATGAATCTTGCTGTTTCAGCATATCATGAAATGCTTAGTTATGGCATTTCTCCTAGTGTTATTACTTACACCAGTTTCATTGTTGGATATTGCAAAAGTAATTGTACTGATCTTGCTCTCAAGTTTCTGAATGAGATAAGAAGGAAGGGCCTTCAACTCGATATTCCTATGTATTCTGCGCTTATTTCTGGTTTGTGCAAGGAAGGAAAAATGGAAGCTGCGCTGGATCTTTTTAACGATATATATAAAGTTGGGTTAAAACCTCATTGTATCATATTCAACAACCTTATTACTGGCTATAAATTTCTGAACAGTATGGAAGGTGCTTTTGAGTTGCATAAAAGAATGGTTACTGAAGGAATTCCTTGTGATAAAGTGATCTACACTAACCTAATTGATGGATCACTGAAAGTTGGCAAAACAGCCTTTGCTTTAGAACTCTATTCTGAGATGATAGAGCAATGCCATATTCCAGATGAAATCACCTTCACTGCATTGATACATGGTCTCTGCCTCAATGGTGACATAGAAGGTGCACACAAAGTTTTGGATGAAATGGATAAGAGTGACGTGCGTCCTTGTGTTAAGATATATAACAAATTGATTAGTGGATATTTCAGAAAGGGCAATTTGGAAGAGGCCTTTCAGTTGCATGATGAAATGCTTGATAGAGGCCTAGTACCCGATGATACAACATATGACATTCTTGTCAGTCAGAAGCTTTAAAGAAACATGTCTACTGCACTGACTTGGAATCTAGGAACCCGGGATTTTTTCTTTGCACCGACAATCATTCATCTTCGCATGAAGGTTCCGAGTGTTCTCTTGATAGGGCCAATGCCAACTATGCCATGCCTATAAAAAGAGTAAGCATCATAACCAAAGAACTTGGTCAGTGAAGGTTTTATTATTATTATTATTCTAACTTTCCCAATTGAACGGCTGAATAGATTCAAGTGATTTACATGCTTCATTTTCTACTGCTTTATCTATTTGATTTACATTTTAATGTCACAAATTATGCATGCACTGCCCAGAAAGCTATACAAAGTTTTAGTTCAATGCTGATGATTTCATGGGTTGAATTTTGCAAGAAACTTATATTGGATCCAATGCAAAAGATAAGCACAGGTTTCTAAATATGCGTTTACAAAACTTGCATAGTAGCAAAGATTTGAGTATCATCTTAATCAAAGTCTTTGAAAGTATTTTTTTAGATCTAGACATTTTGCCTGATATTTACTGGATTTGAATAACTTCTGTCGGTCAGTGAACTAGTGAATTTTTAAAGGTTGGTTTTGTATGACAGTACTGGTGAAATTATAATAATTAATAGTTAAATCCTTGAGTTGATGTATCAGTCTCCCACTTCCAGAAGTTTATCTTTTCACTATTCAATCTACAGGTGATATCAGGCGGCAAAAGATTCAGATGGCTGCCGATGGCTTCTGGTGGATGCAGGACACTGCAAATTCAAAGAGTATGATAATCAAATTCTGCTGACCCTCCTTGCTTGCACGAAAAACATATACGGAGGCTACTCAAAACACCAGTAGGAATAAAGAATGCAGCATCTGAAATCAGGATGGTATAGCAGTTCTACTATAACCTTTTGATTCCAATTTATTTGCAATGCCTCTCACTTAGCCAGTTGAGGCATTAGATGATGAGCTCAGGATGGTCTCTGTTGTTTGTGTGCAGGAATTTTGAAGACTGTGTACTTGATGATGTAGTGTATATTTAATGTGTATATTATGGACATAACTATGGTGGGAAAAGATAATGTGCAACTCCAAAGGAACACTGATTGGTTTGCATTCTACGTCATGTTCTTCTTTAATAACTTATGCAATTTATTTTTGTTTGTGTTAAATTAAGCCAAAAACTCAAATTGTTACACGAAGGAGAAATTAGTTTCTTCTCTTGACTGTTTAGTTTCCTGGCCAAAAGTTTCATATGACAGGTGTATGGCAGTAGATAGATAGTACTCGGGCTGTATCAGAGCAATCAACCTGAGGTATGTTTGAATCAATTACTCATTCAGCTTCAATGCAAATGCGAAAGATATTATTCCCGAAAATTGGATCATAAAGAACACATGATAGAGTTTTCCAATCATCAGATTACAGTCTCCAATTTCCATTGGTAAGGGTGAACAAATCACAAGTTACATTAACCAGTGATCCAGTGCCAGGAGACAATATAAGCAAGCCATTCTTTACGTAGCCATAGGCATGCATGTCTACAAGTCAGAAGCTTAAAGTGCAGCATTGTTCAGGGATGGCAACACTAAACCATGTAATTTGAAAGGATACTGTCTTTACATTCTGAAGTATATCAAGCAATGCACACTAATCAAAGGAATTTTTGCAGAAAGGCAATGTTTATTGTTGGTCAGGGAAACCTAAAAACAATGAGGTTAGTAGATATGATATGCATTACACAATAAAGTCTTTGAGGTTTTTTATGGTGCACCATTTTTAACAGCTTCCAGCAGACCATTCCTTGAAAAGATTCACATGCACACATGACAAAGTATCCTTACAGACACCAGACAGTTGACACATGAAGCAGAGGAAAGAATTCTTAATATAAGTATCATAAATCTGTACATGACAAATTGGGAAGCAGTATCTCTTTTTCCTTGAGAACTGAATGTGCTTTAGTAAATATCTCTTTTCCTGAAAATTTTGATCTCTTTGAACAATGCCACAATGCTAACAAATGAGGAAAAACAATGCCCTTAATAACATAATAGGTATGCAACATATGTTGCTTTGCATGGTTTATTCATTAATGCTGTAATGTTCATGATGTTCAAACTGAAAAATGTAAATGACAAAGAGCAAAAAGTATATGGAAGCAAGAATCAGACGAAAGAGAAAAAAAAGGAAAGCATTTCTGAGATTATGCACATCACCACCACATACACAAATCAAACATATACTAAAAGAAAGTCGTAAAAGATAAATCCATTTGGATTTAAACCTCTGGATTTTTCTTTAGGCCAAAAAGCAAAGCAATAAACACTGTGACCTAGCTTAAAGGACTCCGAATTGACAAGATGAGATATGCTATGAAGAATGCCTAGCCTCGAAGCTCATACGGATGGAAAAAATCTGTTGAGGTCGAATGGCAACGAGTAGAATTCCCCACTTCTTGAATCTCCCTCGAAGTTTTGGAACCTCTTCCACCAGTGATAGCCTCTGTCCCTTTTGGTGGCATCATCATGTCTATTCAGGGTATTGTCCAGGAAAAACGCCACCAAGCCCGCAACAAATGGCTTTGAAGAGAATGTTACGTTGATGATATCATTAAACTGGAAAGAAAAATGGAAAATGAGCATGATACACAGCTAGAATTAAGGAAAGAGAATAGTTGAAGTTGTTTTTGGAGTACCCATCTTGCTTTGGTGTGAACTGGACCATAGCCAGCAACAGAAGTGTACTCATTGAAGTACTGGGGAATCGACAGACCCATAAAAACAGAGAACCCTAAGATGAACTTAGTTCGGAAGCTGTTAAGATTGCAGAACTGAAGGAAACTAAGACCTGCAGCACCTGTTTCAGCACAAATATGAAAATAGATGATCCTGATAAATCTTCGAAAATAATTTGCATATGAGGAACTCAAGTTGTTGGCTGTCTCCCGTACCAACGTATGCAAAGAATAGACAATACAGAGCTGCGAAAATTGGTGCAGGAATTGACGCAAAAATTGCTCCAAATTTTCCTGGATTGGCAAAACAAAAGATCAATCCGATTAGGTCGGTTGGTGTGGTTATGTAACTCCTACAATCTATTCGTTTGGAATCTCCTCATGACATTTTGGAGGTGTAAATGATCCTAATGCAGTGGCTATATTATCAGAAGATGGTGTATCATGGCACAAATTGAATGCTTTAAAATGAAGAAATAGACACAATGTTGCCATACATCTATCAAATGATAAAATAAATACTCGATGGCAACATAAGAACTCATTACTAAAGAGAAGCTATGTATCGACTCCAAAAATTAAATTTTACGCTCGTACATAATTGTGACTGTGACATATATCAGAGAGACTCTTTTACCCAGATATACGTTAACCCTTATGGTAAAGAAGATCCAAAAATCATGGCACTAGGAATATGTCATAGAAGGTTGGCCCATAAGCCAACAAGAAGGAAGATGGACACATCAGAACATGGGCAGCTTACCAAGAATGGAAAAGAAAATCATGAATAGTGCAGATATTTGCACAACCCTTCGACTGCCGACTCGTGTCAGAGCTAGCAAACCAGCATTTTCACTGCAGAAGAATGAAGAAACACGATTTTCATATAAGGATTTCACGTGTCACAATAAACCAAGTGTCGATTGAATGTGAAGTATTGGCATTGCACCTACACTGATACTGAGGATCCATTAGCAGTTCCAAATAGTCCATCCAACAATATACCAATGCCCTAGAAACAAAACTTGATCAACACACAATTGCTCGAGATAACTGCATGGATTCAGCCATATAGATGTTAAATCTCATACCTGCCAACCAATACCACGACTGAGAACTGATGGAGGCAACGGTGTTGCACTCGCATATCGTGTAATCGCAATGAAAGTACCAGTAGACTGCATTAATTTTTGTTAGAAATGGCCTAGTTAGTCAACCATCAAGAACGATAATATATTAGTTTGAGAAAGATGATGTGTTTATCAGAACACAAAGACCAAAAAATAACATTTTAGTTCAAGAAAAAGAAAGATGTGGTTTGACCTCAACAAGAGAAACAAATGAGGCAGCCATCATCGCAAAAGCTTCACCAGCATCAAATGTCGGTGCACCCCATTGAAAAGGATATGGGACTCTTATCCTATTCATTGGTCACAACAAAGAAATCAAAAGTCACAATTATGGTTAGCTCGAACATGAGATGAATTAAGTTTACCAAGGGGCACCACCGACGAGTCCTGAACGATCTGTACGGCAATGTAGTTGTGTCTTTAGTGGTGAATGTCTATATGCCCCTCCCACCGTAAGCAAGTATGCATAGAGCCATACAATTGTGACCGAAAATATGACAGCAAATCGATCAGAGACAGGCTTCTCGGAATGAATAGCATGTGGAATGTACTGTTGGAAACGGATAACGCCACTATTCATGATTCTTACGATAACAAGTTTAAATGAGAATGTGCAACACAAATGCAATACGCCCGAAAAGGTCAAAAGACACTTTACTAATACCTGTGAGAAAATGACTAAAAGAATAATCTGTGGAAAGCCAATTTCAATGCATTTGGCGACCTGCAAGCCCAATTTTATGAAGTGAGGACAAGTACTAAAATGAGCTTGAGATCAAAAAGTAACCATAAGCACAATAGCATGACAAGCTCAATCTGACAGCAACATTCGAATAAGTTTCTCCGATTGAAAACAGTAAATTGTTACCCCGGGAAAACCAAGCTCATAAAGCCCAAATCCAGCAAGCACAACCAGGGGAACTGCTGCCAGTGGACTTAAGAATCTGGATAGCAATATCAAAGAAGGCAAGAGAACATTAACAACACAAAATTACAGACGAAGATGACCGCAAAAGAAAAGCTATCGCTTGCCTGGCAACGTTTCGCCAGAGACCACTGAAACCAACGATGATCTGAAGGGTTGAAGCGACGATCAGGGCACCCTGTGTTCCACGCATCACACGCAAAAATTTCTGCACGATAATGAGATAGGATGAGAGATTTTGAAGGACTAGTGCAATGGAACACGAGCTGGTGTTCTGGCAACCTCATGAGGATCCACGATATCACTGTAACGACCGGCCAAGACGATAGAGACCGTCGGTGCAACAAAGGTGTATGAACCTCCGATCACAGCCGGCAAGCGTGTGCCGAACAAGGTCTGGAAGAGAGTGTTGATGCCAGCAACAAAAAGTAATGTCTGGACTACTCTGGCTTTCTCATCCTGATGTGATTATTGCAATTTTAGAAACGATGCTGCAATTTAATAGTTCACAAACCGTGTACAAATAAATACAGAACACCAAAATTTCCTCTGTGAACTGATCGATTCTTACATTTCCTCCACCCATTTGAGGAACAAGTGCAGTGGGGATGATCACAGTAGTGCCTAGCATAACTAGGAAATGTTGGAAACCAAGTAGTATGGCCTCAGCTGCATTACAAAGATCAACAAGAAGAGTCAAGATCCTACCTCCTATCCAATTATCATCAAATCATACCAACAATTGAAAAGAAATCAATATATTGACAACAAAACATTCTTGCTAGATTCATGCACAGCATATAAGATAATCAAATAGGAAAATATGTGTCCATGCAAGAAGAAATAAGTGGCTTTACGGGCCACAAAACAATCGCAGTTGCATGCAAACCAAAACACACCAAATAGCTCCGATTGATGATGAAATTTCCACTGCATCAAACATAAGAAGATGTGGAAGAACTCACGCCAGGGAGGAGGGCTGGTGATGCAGTAGGAAACATTGGGCAACTGATCCTTCACTGGGTGGGGCTGCAGCTCGTCCTGTTTGGGCGCAGGCGCAGCTCCTCCACCACCACGTCCGGCCATCTCCTCTCTTCTCCTCCTCCTCGGAAACCAACTCCTGCAAGAAAATCCTAACCGACGCAGTGAAGAAGCTCACTCCACTAACCACAAAACTCTGCAAACTTCTAGAAAGAGAACACTTACTACTAAAACTTGAAAGCAAGAAGCCACCCAAAGAGCCGAAGATCTCTGACGTCTCAAGCATCAAAATCCAAACTCAATCCAAGAAGGAGCAGGAAACAAGGAAAACAGTGTCTAAAACCCACAGTACAGTGTCACTCCAAAGTTCTCCCAAGCGTACAAATTTTCCACACACCA